AGAGAAAAATAAATCTATAAGTTTAGTGATACATGTAAGGGGACATTTATCAAGGTCCGTGGAAAAGAAACGACAGATAAGAGTTCTCAGAGTTCCTCTTTATATACGAAAAATACGGAACCCAGAGACGAAATCAAGAGTTTTAACAATAGAATATTTAAGGGGATTGAAGTTAAGAATGGAGTTTAGTGATTTACTTCAAAGGACGTAACAACGTTCAACCAACTCAGTTGCTAGATTTACACCGGGAAACAAGTGGTACACAATAGACAATTGTTCACAATACGTCTCTAGGTTCATGAAATAACTGTCAAGAAATGGGAGTCAATGATGTATCAAGTAAAGATCCGATCAGTTGCAAGGATCAGATAAAAAACTAACTGAACGTATGCACCTCTGACGTGAGCACACAGTATACTGATTGGCACATTATAAATGAAAACCAATAACTCTATGGTTCATCAACAATTTATACCGAGTCACCAATCCTATTTGTCTCACAGGCACACTAATATTGAAAAGACATCTAGTAGAATCAATGCAATTTGACACAAGAAGATCGAGGTACAACTAACTTCCAAAGTGAACTTCAGGTTCAGACTGTTTTTTTTGAAGAGGAAAATGCTAAGAAGAAAACAAGTAGATAATTCAATGATGAATTATATAACTCAATAAAATCAGCTAATTTATTGATTGCGTCAATTATGTTCACCTATTACATTCTTGATTAACTACAAGTTCATTTCTATTGGGTGACCAAAAATTTTAAATTGTCTGCACTTTCTTCTTCTTCTTCTACCTCCTCTAATAAGTATTACCATTGAAGATGTCTTATTGATCAGTGGTTGATGAACAATCCAATAATTTTCTACAGTCTTGTTTTACTCATTCTGTCGTTATAGGAGTCTTGTTTCATCTCAATAATTAGGAGGTATTAGTTATAACGCAATCATATCAGTGGTAATAATCAACATACTAACAAATCATCTTGTTTTAAGCCGTTATAGATATATTGAGAGGTAAAATTAAATTATTTCTATTTTGCTTATGATTTACTAACTGAAATAAGATTGGTTCTTCTCTCTTGTTGTAGTTACTATTGGATTATGTGTCTTTAAGGAATTCTCATAGGTTGATTAAATTATCCAACATTTAATCTGATTTAAAGTTATTTTACTGTTGAAACACCAAGTATGTTTAAGAAAGGAAAACTAGTCACTAAGCTAGTACTATCTGTTATAATATGACTGCTTATATCTACCGTAATTGCTAGTTAATACAAGTACTTGAATATGTATTCAAGAATATTCATATTCTAGTTCTTATTTATATCATTTGTCATTCGTCATCGAATATGACGATAATGAATACAGCATTTACTTTCGCTGATAATAGTAAACCAAAACAGAATAAGTGTCTAATACTTTTCTGGTTTCCAATGATCATTACAACAATGTCATTTAATGATGAAATCTGTTGTTAGATAGGACAAATCAATATTACATACTAAAGGCTTTGTCGAATGATTTGGATTTTTATAAAACATAGACACCGACTATTGAGGAATTTTGTTTGTTACATCTTGTGTAACTATGGTGACAATAGTGGTACATAGTTAATGTATGCATATCAAAGGAAATTAACATATTCATTTTGTGAAACTGGGATTGTTTCTCAAATCATGTTAGTCAGATTTTGGAAAACAATATTTAATTATATTGAATACACAGTCTATGTAAAATGTTCATGGTTAAATGATATAAAGAATAGTCTTAGCTAAAAGAAAAATACATGCATTTTACAATTTTTGTGTGAATCAGATGTAAATTTTGGGTAAATCTTGAGATAATTTTCACCAAAAGGCAATAAACCTTTTGGGAAGGAATAAAAGCAACAATTTTGTTAGCATTTATTAATTCTAGATGACATCTGCCTTCAGTCATGAGGTCTGAATCCTTCATAATCTTTTTATTATACTAATTTATATTCCCTTGAATCATATCTGTGATGCCTAAAGTTTTATGCATCCACTGACCTGAGGTTCACTCTAATAATTTATGTCGCCAAGTGAATGTGTGATTACTTGAACTAGTGTACACTTTTACTAGTTTCTATGTTGCGAATGACTGACTGATCTGTTTATTAATTCAAGCTCTTGCTTCTAACCAACCTAGTAGTGAAGTGATGTAAAAAAATCGGTGATAGAAATTTGGATCTTTTTATGTGCAGTATGTTGCAGCTTCTAGGAATTCCATCAAAAACGGAGTAAGTCTGTTGAAATAATATCTCTTAGGGTTATCCACAGTTTATTACAGGTATTTAAAATATGAATAAAATTTCTTCGTACTTCTAACAGAAAAATAAAGAAAAGTGAACCAATAAGATCAAATATTGGTATCGAATACTTCTAAAACAGGTAATGTAACACTACACGTAAAGACTGGGATAAAATCATCATTGTGATATCAGTTTACTGTCTAGTCGAAATACGTCGATATGAATCATCTCAGCTTTTGAGAAGGCTTAATAACTCAGACAGCACGTGACAATTGAGTCATTTTTACATGTATAATAACTCTGTTGATTCCATAAACGTCTCATTTTCATGTCCTTATGTCTTTTACTCTTATGATAATTGAATGTGTGTTTATCACTCATTATTTTATCTAACGTCTGTTTCATTACTACATAATGCACTGCCCATTATGATCTATACTAATTCTTGTAATGAGTAGTATTGCGATTCGGCATGTTTGAATTTACCAGTCTGTAAGTGTACGAAATATACATATCCAAAATTCATCTTTGTATTTGACATATTTTATTCCGTTATTTTATCACGCAAATTGAGTGGATCGTTATATACGAGGGTTGGTATAATGCATATTTCCTTAACGCCGGCATAGGCGATCAAACTGGAGTCAAATCAACTGGACATTAAAGCAGGCATAGTAATAAATAAGCTGGTGAGTATAATGAAACACTGTCTGTTACGTAGAATTTCAGTCGCTTATACGAAGTAAGTTTAGATGGGTATTTATATGAATATAATATAAATAAAATTAATAAAGAAAAATAAACCATCCATACGTAGTCTGAGCATCCCTGTCTACTAGGCGTGTTATTCGAACACTTTTACGCCTTTCTCGACCTTTCTACATTCGTCTCTTATCGTTAACCATTCTAATAACGTTTATGTATGTCCTTGTGAATGTCAGCCTTATCAGTACCTGTCACTTATGCTCTAATTAACCAACTGCACACATTAACTACCCCATTTAAAGAGCGATTCACTCATTATTCACCATTTAGGCGAAGGTGCTTTCATCTAAGCTTCCTGTACGTCTGCGCAAACGAAAGTATGTAGTAAACCTTTAACAACGATTTTTTATCTAGACTTCATTACTGCCGTTATATAATAAGGGGTTAGCCCAAGCATGATGTATGAGATTCAAAGGGAATTAACTTTTTCTATTTCGTACAAAATTTGTATCATTCCCGGAGTCAAAACCGTGGTACAAACCCATAACTAAATGTTATAAGCACTGTCTATTATTACGATCTGAAATATGGCACGCCTAATATAAAGAAAACAATAATGTTTAACAAAGATGAAAACATTTTTTCAGAACTCAGCAACCAATGCATAATTACTTGGTAATACCGTGGAAAATCTATAGGAACAGGGTAAAACAAGTCAGTGATGTCTACCTTCATTGAATAGGTAACCATTGACTTTAAAAATTACTGCGAACTTACAGAACTGCACCCTGAAACATAGTCTAGCTGTCGATAGCAGATGGTTTAAAATTTTTATAGTTAGACGAATTGATGCGTCTTTTGACGTTTAATTCTAGAATAGAAGTGATAGGATATGTTTTCGGACAGGATGGTATTTTGAGTGGCGGTTTGGTATATTTTATCAGGACAGTTTTCTTGGGTCGATCTGAGGTATAATGAGGGAATGGGCTGAAACAACCATCTTTACATCCACCCATTAATTTTGACGCACTTGCCGGTTTGAATACAGATCTCGGGTGTATTGAGTTTTTGATAGTTGAAGTGAAAGGCCTTCGTTTAATACGCACTTGGTGGTAAGGATTTTTATCAAAGTATTGCTGGGGATGCATGTTGAGATAAAACTGTTTTCCAGATGATGAGCTTTCTTTAGCACTTGTTTTTTTAATTTTATCATAAGGATCACTCTTGTAGTTTGGATATTTTCCTATTGTGATATCAATGTAAGAGCCGCAGCCCTTCTTGGCTGGGGAAGTATAAAAATTCTTCTTGTGAGATTTCATTTGGTTGTTCTGCCTCGTTATTGGTCTAAAGTAGGGTATGGGTCCACTAAAAGTATCTATAGAGCTGCCTAAGCCAAGAAGATGATGGGTTCCGTTCGGAGGAGCCCAAGCCTTTCCTCGTATTTTCTTTGAGCTCTCCTTTCTTTGGATTCGAATAAGTCTTTCCAGATCGATTTTGTTATCACCAGTGAAAATTCGCGTGAAAGGTCCAAAATAACCATCCGTATTTGCGGACTTGAGTTTAAATCCATCACAATACATCTGTTTACCTTTGAATGCTGACCGAGTTTGGTGACTGTCTTGTTTATCATACTGGTCACGTATAGTAACATAAGACATCTCCTTGAATATTCCAAGTCTATCAAAATCAGCTTGCATTGTTGGCATTTCGAAGCTAACACTAGTTTACTAGGAAATGTGCTTGAATGACTTGAGTAAATATGTACTGAGACAATACACTCAGACTGATTTCTATGAACATAATGTGTGACCTTGAATCTACACTGAGTTCTGATTCGATATAAGTGCTCTGTTAAACAATAAAGTATAGTCTCATTACTTTCAAAACTTTTACTTTTTTATTTCTAAATTGTGATTAGCTTGTGACTATACTGTTATTTATATTTTATGCTAATGCGCCTAAAATGAACTCTAGTGACTGCGGCAATTTCGTTTTTCGGAGCTGGTTCGCATGTTGGTTAATGCTACTAAGAGCATAACTGGTTTCCCCAATTACAATAAGACGCTTCACACACAGTCATATGGCATCTGGGAATTCTGTAATCGTATCAAGTCAAATAAATGTATCATCTACGTCAGTGTTGGCAACGGAAAGTTCATGTCAAAACAGTATCGCTATATCGGATTCTCCTCGTCACCATACTGTCCCACATGGTGAAGCTCATCCCCCTCCTACGCAACTCATCAAGTTAAATTCTCTTGCTGGCCCATCAGTCTCAAGAAAAGAAAAACTTCATACATCTTCTCGATTCGGTGCTCCAAAGAGTCGTGAACTTAATCCTTTACCTCTTATTAAAGGTGTGTCTCAAGTTTTTAATGTACATCTAAATTCATTCACTTCATGGTGTGTTCGAGTCTGTAGGTACATCGCTATTCGGTATCCTTATTTTACTATGTTTGTAATTAGATGCACTTGGTGAACAGTTTTTTTCTAGAAATAGCTCTCGTATTGTTTCTCAGCTAAGGAATTGGTTTGTTGGTAGGCACGGTGCTGTCGGTTATTTAGCTTAGGGGTTTAGGACTTCGTAAAATATTAACCATGTGGAAATAAATCTACCAATCTTCAAGCCCTAATCGCTCTGATTTAGCAGTTTCAACAGCACAAAAGTATTAAAAGTAATGTATCTCCACCCAGAATATAAAATCTTAAGTAATGAGAAGTTTCAGCACTTCGAGAGGCTTGTTGAAACCATTCAAACTAAGATGCTGAGCATTTACTGTTTTTCGTAGTCGTAATAGGGTTTACGTAAGCCCTTGAAAGTATCTCTAGTTCTTCAAAACTTTCTAAGGATACTGCTGTTTTTGTGTTGTTTGCTGTGTTGTAATAGACTTTATCAGCTTCGTGTTGAAAAGCCCTGTTGTAAACGTATTTTGTAACGCTATATGCTCCGAGGCGTATCTAGAATTTCCATTTGTTGACCCCAAACTTGATGAAATTCCATTCGTGTATATTTATCGACAGATAGCACATTGATCTTAATTCATTGGTGTAGGCCACCTATAAAATTGATATCCTCCAATCTCTTAGGACATCTAATGTATATTTTCTGTGAAAATACTTTGTATATAAGCATGTTATCTTATCGGAGTAAACTACTCCAGCCAGTGGTCTTTGAAACTAATTTATTAGCGAAATGGGTTGAGTTGGTAATTTGGTCTTGTGAGCACTTGTCACTTGACTCCATCGCGTTGCTGCCCTTTATCTAGAGATTTATATTCTGCCCAATCATTTTCAATGATCTTGAGCACATTTTATTGCATCACAATCCTCAAAACTCAATAATAGGCAAAACTGGATTTTCTACGTAAACTGAAGTCCAGGAGACAAATAGTCTTAGTAATATTATTCGTTTTGGAAAGGCTAGTGGATGGTCTTTTTTCTCGAACACCTATTGGAGTACAGAAGATCGTTCATTTTTATTAGAATCATGGATACAGATATATGTATAATCAGTGGTATGGGAGGACGGTCAAAAAAAATTCAAAACCGACTTTCGGAAACTTAGTGTAAAGTAACTGAATTTTCGGTATTAGTGTGGTGTGTGTGAGATAACGTCTTCCTCCACCGGAATTTCGTCGTTGACCATTTAGCGATTTATCGTAATCCAGTAACTTTATACTTTCGAATCACAGTCATTAAATATCACCGAGTCAGTAGCTGAGTTCATAAGCATACGTTTGGTTGAGTAGCGCGGACATTTCCAGGAATACTTAGTCCCGTTCTGGTTTTTAACAATTGTCTTCCTCATATTTTCGACTTTATTTCTGTTATCAGTCTTTTATAAGTTGCCGAATCTTTTCTTTCATGTGTTTTGGGTTCATGCAGTACCGCTGCATACTATATTTTGTGGACTACACTGTTGGAATCCCATACGAAATGGGGTAATGGGTATATTTTTTCTAAAATTCTAGAATTTAGTTATTAGTCATAATATGGAGCTTTGGATATATGCGAGTCAACCTAAGTTAACATAACACATCAGTATAAGGAGATGAAACTAACAAGGTGTATAACAAAGGAGTCGAGATAATTGCATTAGCATTGATAAAGACTAAAGACTGGAAAATACGTTTCGAAAATGTTCAACTTTAAAAAATAAAAATATGGAAGCTACTGAAGAGATAAAGAGCAAATCTTTTCGAGCCATTGCCCCTGGTTATAAGTCATATAACCCAACGTCTGCAACCACTGGTATCTGCATCGCTCGTACCATAACCAGCTATCTATCAAGACGACAGTCCAAAAGTCAAAGACTTTGTGGACTGGTGACATTTATTGTTTTAGCTAAGTGAGACAGTCATGTTGTTACACTAAATCACCGTTTCATTTTTTGTTTTTCTTGCAGCGTATTGGTGTATTTTATAATATCAGCTGGTTTAGTTTAAAATAGTAAATTTTACTTCATTTTACCAGATTCTGACAATCAAGAAAAGCGAGAGGAGCTATTTATTCAAAAACTAAAACAATGCTCAGTTGTATTTGAATTTGTACCGGATATTTTAAGCGATTTAAAAGATAAAGAGGTGAAACGAGCAGCTCTGCACGAATTAACTGAATATCTGACTGAAAATTCCGGCATAATTACAGATTCAATATATCCAGAAGTGGTTCGAATGGTTGAAGTGAACCTATTTCGTACGTTACCACCACCAAGTAATCCATCTGGTGCAGAATTTGATCCAGAAGAGGATGAGCCAACATTGGAGGCAGCTTGGCCTCATTTACAAGTAAGCTTGTCGAAAAAGTTTTAGTTGGGGATGTTTTGAAAGTATCACATATTTTTAATTTTAAAAGTGTATTAGAAAAGTGAATTAGCGGTTCATTCGCTCAAGTTTTGTTCACTCTTTTAACTTAATACAGTCAGTCAGTCAGCTACAACGTAGGACCAGGCACATATGTGCATCGGTCCAGGTTGCCATACCGCATCGGCACAACAAGATGAACACCGGATTCATAGCAGTGGTTAGGTCAAAGGTGGTAATATATAAGAGGAAGACTGCATATAGAGATATAGTACAAGAAGAAAGAATTGGTTCGTAGAAAGAAGGATATGATTTTAATCTCTTAGTTTAAGGGAAGACAGGGAGTGTATACACCGACGCCATTGTGATAGATTCTGAGCCATGTCACACACAGTCTCCAACCATTGGTTACGAAAGTCACGCGGACCCCAACCACGTAGTCTGCATCTACCAAAATGGCTCAGACTAGAAGTTAGTGTCTTCAAGCACTGATGCCACGTTTTGGTTTGGCCGCTCCTAACTTTCTTCCAACCATCTCCAATACCGGATAGCATTTCACGTCGTGGTAGTCGGTGTTCAGGCATACGTAACACGTGACCCAACCATCTCAGTCGATGAAGATTAACAAACTCATCAACTGATTTACCATCATTCCCTAATACCCTGCGTTTAACCTCACTATTACTTACCTGGTGATCCCAGCAGACGCCAGCAATGTTTCTAAGGCATCTGTGGTCAAATACTAGTAGCTTACGAGTGTCTTCTACTCTTAACAGCCATGTCTCGCTGCCGTAAATTAAAACAGAACGGACTGCCGCGCAGTATACTCGTCCTTTTATTGATAGACGGATATCTCGCCTTCGCCAAAGGTGACGCAAGTTGGCAAAAGCCAAGCGAGCTTTTCGAATCCGTGCTGAGATTTCGTCAGACACCAACCCATTAGGGCTGATCAGACTTTCAAGATAAGTGAAGTTGGCAACGCGTTCGACTACTTCACTCCCTATCCTTAGTCCAGGTGTTGACCAGTTAGATGGGATAACGTCTAACTCCCAGATCTTAGCTAAAATATTAGTCAACCTAATCGCTAAAATTGGACCACCATCCTTAAAGACCTCTGGAGCCAGTCCATCTGGACCAGCTGCCCTTCCTCGTTTCAGATTAACTATAGCCTTTTGAACTTCAGCAAGAGTTGGGGGACCTACTTCAATGTTCCATTCACGCTGTCTGGGAATGGAGGGTAGTTGTAGAGTAGCTGAAGGCCAGCTGAACTGTTCTCTGAAATGTTCCGCCCATCGTTCTAAACGTCTGGACTGGGAGCAGATGAGAGTATCGTCTTTTTCCGAAATAATCTCACTTACACTTGACTTATTAATTCCAGTTTCTTTTATTAGTCTGTAAAGCTGTCTTGTGTTCCCTATAGTCGCCGCCTTTTCCATCTCTTTTGCTTTCGTTGCCCACCACTGCTCACGGTCGTTTCTTAGACTTTTTCTTAACCTAGATCTGATTTGTTGTCGCTCTTCATCATGTTCGGAACCTGATGGGACGAGTTTGCGAGAATCCATCAGTGTGATAGACTTTGAAGAAATCCACTGGTTCTTTGTAACTCTGTGGTTTAAGTCACTAATAGATGTCACTGCTGTTTCCACAGCTGCTTGTATGGCTTTCCAAGCAACATCTGGGTCAGCCTCGTCTTCACAACTACCTAAGTGTGACCTCAGTTGTTCCTGGAACCTACTTTTGGTTTTCTCGTTACTCAACTCAGTTCTAATGGGTCTTTTTAATGTGGCTTTTTTGCGTCCAGTGAGGCGCAAGCAGATGCGTGCCCGTATTAGGGCATGGTCGGAGTCCAAGCAGGTACTCCAGAATGAGCGACAATCTTCTACCGACCCTCTCCAACGATGACTGATGGCAATATGGTCTATTTGAGTCCATCGTTGGTTTGGTGTAGGGGGTCGCCATGTTAGACGATGTCTCTCCTTATGCTTAAAATTTGTGTTTGCTAAAAATAAGCGATTGTCTGAGCACAGTTGCAGCAGACGATCACCATTATCTGTTCGCTGTGCCGGAATGCTAAAATATCCACCTAAATGCCTTTCTGTTTGGTTTAAGCTACCTATCTGAGCATTAAAGTCACCCCCTACGAGTACTATGTCTGAGCGTTTAGCTTTCTGAAGAAGTTCAAAGCTTTCTGTAAAATTCATCTTTCACTTCATCTGAGCTGCAGTCAGTGGGAGCGTAGGCAGAAACGACGAAAAGGCAACGACGTGTGTCCCTATCCTTCCGAGTTCTTACGGAGCCGTTTAGCCGAACAGCACATAGACGACTGTTGACGGGGATCCACTCTAGCAGTGCTTGTTCCGCCCTCATGCTTAGTGCTATGCCTACACCTGCCAGTCCACGAGAACTTGCCATCGGGTCACCAGATACACGAAGGGTGTATCTCGTTGGCTCTCCGTCTTGCCGAGGTGAGGTCAAGTGAATGACCACACTGGAATCCTGTATGCGTGTTTCGGAGACACAGCATACATCAATGGAAAGAGACTCTAGGGTTTTAGCCAAGGAAGCCTGCTGACCGATTTGACATAGGGTGCGTACGTTGAAGGCTCCAATGTGTAGTTTGGAGCGAGGTTTCAGTAGACCTGGGACAGAGTTTTGAGCACTAGAATCGTTGGCTATGGTGACACTTGAGGAGGAAGCCGAAAGAGGAAGTTTAGAGTTGAAAGTCGATGTAGGAGGAATAATAGGAATTGAAGAGGAGGTTGATTATGAATACAGTGGTCTTGAGTGCTGTTAGAAGTATGAGGGCGGTTATCACTTCCCGGTTGCCCACACCGTGGAAGGGTTCTTCTGGAGGTACCTGAAAAGGAAATTGGATTAGAGGTGGTCTCAGTGACCTGAGAGCGTGACCGCAGTGCCCAAGGGACAACTGCTTGAGGCCGGTCGCGCACGGCCTTTTCGTGGAGGTTTTGACGTGTTAGCTCCGTTCTTCAAAGGGCCTTACCGCCGGAGACGGAAATCCGTGAGGTAAGGTGAGGTGTGCATTTTTAGGGTCGACCTTTTCTAACCCCACCCCTCCTTGTGGGAAGGCAGCATCGCTGTCATGCTGGTTGTCTGAAGGAAACACCTTACTGCTGTCACACCTCTGTACAGTCAGCAGTACGACTTCGCCTTCGGACCTTGGGTTTGTTGCTTTTAGTCTTACCGCTCTTCAACCGACCTGTCTGACATGGTAGGACCTTGAGGAACGGTTGTTCCAGCCAGTATAGCTCGGTTGCTTCATCACGATAGGCAAGCCCGACCACCACGTCAAGGTAGCAACAACGGTCGGGTTTAACTTAATACTCGTCCCAGCCACCCAATCCTAACTGTTGCATTGGCCCAGTGGTCAGGCTTGCCCACCGTGGTCATCCAGTCGGGATATATTGACTAGAAAATTCTCTTCTTTAGATCCTAGTATATCGAATAGGTCAGTTGGAGAATGGTAAGGCTAGATTAAGGTTTGACAGCTAAGTTGTATTGCGGATTGAGAAGTGGCAGTAGTAGGCAGTTTCCCTCAAACAACCAGCACCTACGGCGATGCTACTTTCTCGCAACAAAGGAATTTGAAATGGTCTGTCCTAAAAATAACATACCTCACCTTATCTCACACGTTTTATTTCCAGTTGTAAGGCCTAGGACTACTCTGAAAAGACCGTATCTAACCAACCTCGATCAGTTTTTCCTTATTCTCTGTGGTCACACCCCCAGGTCTCTAAGACCATTGTAATGCAGGTCCCTTTTTAAACTCCTGAAGATGTATTTTTTACGGTGTTGATAATCGGGAATTGATAACTACTCACATATCTCGACTCTGTCTGATTGATATTTTGCTAACTGAAAGTTTATGTACTAAAATTTGCGGCAAACTGCTTGTGCAGCGGCAGACATCCGAATAACCAAATCTTATTAAATTTTAGCGCAACCTCATTATTTGTACAGTTATACGAAACATTCAAATAAATTATAGTAATTAATCCCATTTTACATAGTTTAGTAGTAACTTTTCAACTCAGTAATAATGCTTCTATCTGGTTGTAAGAATCTGAATTTGGTTTGTACAGTATTAAGTTTTTTAGTTAAACAGTGCTTTTTGTGGGTAAATTGCAATGAACTCCAAACTTATGTTCAAAGTTTCCCCACTCAAATGCACTTTGCCACACATCCAATTATAGTGTACTGTGATCATATTGTATTCTTCGACCAATATAAATAGTGCAGTAGCAATAATTAAAACATTACTATTCTAATATTATGCAGAGTAACTTTCTTTGGGATTAATAATCATCTTGTTACAACACTACTTAATTTATCATATCTTCTTACTAAATTATGATTACCAATGAAGTAAATGCTCTCACCTGCTCTCACTACCATCATAAACGACTATTGTGACCAATTAGTTATATGCAAGTTGATTTTACGCTTCCTTTCCCTGTTATTTTTTATCATTTCCATACTTTTTTCGCCTGACACAACAGTTCGCCTACAGTGTGGACTGTCATATATCAAGTCACTGACTGGTTGGAAGTTAAATGTTATCACCGAATACGAATTCTTAGTCAGTTTTTCTGAAATCACATACACCATTCAAACTAGCTCCCCTTCAACGTTCGTATACTAATACAGATCAGAGAACATAGGTTTAGCTGTCTTTAGAGAGTCTTAGCAACGACGTTTGTTGTCTATTTGAAACCCGCATTCAAGGTTGGTGAAGTACTACACATTAACTCATCTATTATTTTGAAAGCTTGTTTCACGTGCGTTCCTCCCGGAACTCTGTGGCATCTTCGTCCGGCTTTTTGGCGTTTTTGTCTCAAAAAGGGCCATAGCTGAGACAACACTAATTGATAGGATCCCCGTTAACAGTGAATCACATTCTATTACATTAAAAACGCCACCGAAGTGAGAAATCCGTATGAGAACGACCTCTCCTAGTTATCTCCACCTACTCGCTGAAAGATTGCAACTCAGATACAACTAAGGTTGAGTTCTGTAATCAGTTAGACTATCTCAACAAAACGCGTACTAGCTTGAGAATCGATTGTTCATGTCAGGCATCTATGCACACGGACAAGTCGTTTGGGCAGCCAATGGGGACTCGTTGTTTTCAGATCAGACAACGACGAACATCTCCTGTAAATTTAGCAGAACTCAATCTGTTTCTGGTTAGCACTAGCTATCGGCACAGTCATCGCTGATGTGCTGCTACCTGGCATCCTCCTACTGCACCCCGAAGCTCGACTCAGATTAATTAAATTGCGATTAGCTAACACTAGCGTGGATGAATACATGACTGCCACTCTTTTTGTAGTACTTATCTAGACTTTGATTATCTCCTCATTTCTGCTATTGATACCTGTACGTCACATGTGCAACACCTACCGGAGGGTAAGTCTGTTTCCGTTTGCGTCCAAACTATTTTCTTCATCATGCTTTGCAAACTGTTCATAGCACGTGAAAGACTGACCCGCCAAAAGCAGGTTGGTTTTCGTCCTAGCCGAGGGTATATTGATCATAACTCCACCGTCCGCCAAATGTTTGAACACTGTGATACTTGTTGCAGGCCAACAACTGTAATGATTATTGACATCACGACCACCTTCGATTCGTGGGACAGAACTGTTCTCTGAGATTGTCTGTTGAAGAAGTGTATACCTGAGAAGTTGTTCAAATTTTAAAACCCCTTTATACTAATACATCAGGTAGAGTAGTGAGAGCATACAACCACTTCTCTTCATTGTTTAATTCAAACAATGGGGTTAGGTAGGATTGCAGCTTTGCCATCGATGACACTCTGGAAACAGCTTTGATGGACGTAAGTAATGGTGGTATGGATCTATCACACGAAGAAAGACCTTGACTATGCGGATGATACCCAAGCCATGCCACCCGCACTTAATCAGATGGCAATCAGTGTTCGTAAGTATGGCATGTGTTTTGCACCTTCGAAGTGAAAAGTACTTTTACAAGATTAGTAGGACGCTGAACCTGCACTCACCCTGGTTAGTTGAAGGATAGAAGTAGTCGAGAAGTTCGTGTATGTGAGTAGATGCGTAAGTGTTGGTGGTGTTATGCCAATCTGGCTATCTTTGACGTCTTCTTTTTGATGTTATTTGGGCTGTTAAAGTCGCGCGTTAGTGATAGCAGCTTTTCTTTATGAGTGTAAGACCTGACCTCTTTGAGTTGAAGATTCAAAGTGACTCTGCTTATGATCACCGTTGCTTCCAAAAGATTGCCAACATCCAGTGACTACACAATGTTAGTAACGTGGATTGGGGCACAGCGACAGTAATTCAATCAATGCCACTATCTTGAAACTTCGATTTTGGTGACTTGGACATGTACTACGAATGTTGTCCCAGTGAATTCTACATCATATATTATTTACAGACTCTGAGAGTGGTTGGATAAGGCGGAGAGATTGTCAGTATATGATTTACTTTACTTTTATGTTTTGTATTCTTTTATTAAATTAATGTGTTTTTATTTCTATAATTTTTTTGTTCACTGTTACCAGTTGGTATATGAATTCCTACTTCGTTTCATTGAATCTCGAATTTCCAACCAAATGTTGCTAAGCGTTATTTCGATACAAAATTTGTATTACAGGTATGATTGTTTCATTTCATCTTATTTATTAAAATTAATCAGTTAAATACTCCATTTTTTTTCTGGTGCTTAATTTATCCTACTTTCTCAAGTAATGTCAATGATATTTCCTTGTAATAAACTGTTAACAACATCTATTTTATCATGAGAAACAGTAAAATTGGGCTACAAAAAGATGGTTGTTTGTATAAGTGAATGACTCCAACTTATGACTATCGTAACCGATGGTTGGAGACTTTGGGTGATATATGGCTCAGAATCGATCACGATGGTGTCGGTGTATACACACTGTCTTCCCTTAAACCCTCAAGTTGAATTTGCTTTATATCTTTCTTTCTATGAGCTAATCCTTTCTTCATGTACTATATCCTTATATGCAGTCTTTTATATATTACTACCATGAATTTGGTATGCTAATGAGATGTGGCAACTTAGACCGATGTATATATGTGCCTGGTTCTACGTTGTAGCTGACTAATTGACTATGACTAATTCGTTATGAAAACTCTGTGTAAATAATTGTTTCCATTATGTAGTTGGATGGATAGTGTTAATAGATTAGAATATTGCATGTGCTTTAAGGAACAAAACGTTCAGTTTCATTTAATAAAGTAAATTAGGTTGATCATTATAATTTATTGTAACAGTGAAGAATTATCATCATAACTAGGTTCAATAAAAGAGACTTAGATAGTGACGAGTGCATTTGATAATCAGGTAGTCGTAAGCAACTTAGAGCGGAAGCTCAATATCACGATATCAAACCTGATAAATGTATGGCAATGTAGTCGAAACAACAGTAATGCTAGTGAAAGCGATTAAACATAAGAGAATATGTTTTATAGAGAAATGATGATTTTGAGACGAAAATGTTGGGACTAAAGACTTATAGAAAGATAAAGAGTGAATGGGTCTGCGGCACTATGATCTATTCTAAATTATGTCATCAAACTCCCGATTAAGGTTATATTGTGCATCTCAGCCAGATATTTTGCAGTAACAAAGTTTATTAGTTTACAGGTCAGTATGCTGATGCTATGCTATAGTATGACTACCTCCATCTAATTTTGATGTATTCCTACTTCAACCAAGATTGCACGCCGAAATATTGGGTGGTTGCACATAGAGCTGGCCTCATTTCTCCATCAACGGATTTTCCATCTTCATCTAGTACCCCATTTCGCTCATCGAAGAGAACACAGAGTCGCATGGAATCCTCAACTCGGAGAGGTCAGGTCTCACACTCATAAAACAAAGCTGCTATTGCACGTCGGGGCAGTCGGTGGTTGGGCATACGTAACACGTGTCCCAGCCATCTCAACTGATGAAGTTTCACTACTTCATCAATTGATTTCCATCATTATCTAGTACCCGTTTCCTAACAGCTGAGTTGCTTACTCGGTGGTCCCAGGATATACGAGCAATGTTTCGAAGACATCTATGATCGAATACTAGTAACTGGCGAATGTCCTCTGCTCTTACCGGCCATGTTTCACTGTCGTAAAGTAGGACGGAACAAACTCCTGCGCAGTAAACCCGTCCTTTGGTTGGTAGACGGATATCTCGCCTACTCCATAAATGACGCAAGTTGGCAAAAGCTAGTCGAGCCTTCTGTATCCGTGCTGAGATTTCGTCACATACCAGACCACAAGGGCTGATGAGACTTCCAAGATAAGTGAAGCGGTCGACACGCTCAATTACTTCACTCCCTATCATTAGTTCAGGTGTCAATGCAACCCAATCCTGAAGCAACATTTTGCATTTCGAGGGGGAGAATCGCATCCCGAACATGCTTGCATTGTTGTTTAGAATGGTCAGAAGACTTTGCATTTTGTCAGCGTCTTCACCAAATAAAACTATGTCATCAGCATATTCTAAGTCAACAAGTGAATCTCCCGGTAGAAGTTCAACCCCTGGAAATCTAGACGAGGAAAGTGTTATCTCTAAAAGTATGTCAATGACAAAGTTAAACAAAAATGGGGAGAGTGGACAGCCCTGACGAACACCACTTGAGGTAGTCAATTCTGATGACAGTTCGCCATAAGCTCTCACTCGACCAGTTGTGTTTGAGTAGAGAGCCTGTATAAGGTTAATGTACTTCTTTGGTACTCCTTTCAGTGACAAACACTGCCACAGAACCTTACGATCGACAGAGTCGAATTCTGCCTTAAGGTCGAGAAATACTGCGATTGTGGGTCGTCTGAATGTGTGTCTGTGTTCTAGGACCTGATGAAGTGTGAATATCTGGTCTATACAACCACGTTCAGGTCGAAAACCAGCTGGTTTTCCCTAGTCTTTTCTTCACGAGCTTTGTTTACCTAAGACCTCGGTCAATCTCGCTGCTAATACTGGACCACCATCCCTAAAAATCTCAGGAGTAAACCTGTCAGGGTCTGCTGCTCTCCCTCGCTTCAGATTTCCTATGACTTTTTCAACTTCGTAAAGAGTCGGAGGACCTAAATTAACTTGCCATTCAGGTTGACTGGAGATCGTGAGAAACCGAAGTGTAGCTGAAGGCCAGTTGAACTGATACCCGGAAGTGTTCTGCCCATTGATTCAATCTCCTGGATTGAAAATGTATAATACGTCCATCTTTCTCTGTGATAATTTCGCTAATAGTCGGGTTCCTAATTCCGGTTTCCTTAACGAGTCTGAACAGTTGTCTGCTATTACCTATTGCCGCTGCCTTTTCCATCTCTCTTGCTTTCGCTACCCACCACTGTTCGCGATCATTGCGTAAGCTTCTTGTTAGCTTGCGCTTAAGCTAACTCTGCTCTTCGTCATGTTCAGATCCATATGTACTGGGTTTTCGGGCATCTATCAGTGCGGTAGATGCTGCTGTTTCTCCATAACCTTGTGGTTTAACGTACTAGCAGATATCACTGCTGTTTCCACAGCTTTTCGGATATCATTCCACGCTGCCTCGGGGTGAACATCATTTACATGGCTGCCTAACTGTTTTTCTATTTGTTCCTCAAATATACTCTAAACTTGACCATCATTAAGTAGGACCTTAAGGGGTTTCCTTGCATCATCTTTCCGACGTCCAGTAAGACGTAGACAAATACGCGCTCGCACTAGAGCATGGTCTGAATCTAAGCATGTGCTCCAGAATGAGCAACAGTCTTCTATCGAGCCCCTCCATCGGTAACTGATAGCAATGTGATCTATTTGGGTCCAACGTTGGGACGAATTCGGGGGTCGCCATGTCAAAACATGTTTTTCCTTATGCTTAAAGTCAGTGTTTGCAAGAAACAGGCGGTTATCTGAGCATAACTGCAATAGACGGTCGCCATTATCTGTTCTTTGAGCCACGATACCATAAGATCCACCCAGGTGTCTTTCCCTATCGCTTAGTTTACCTACTTGAGCATTAAAGTCACCGGCCACTATTACTACACCCGAGCGCCTAGCTTTTAGGAGGAGGTCGGAGAGCTTTCTGTAAAACTCATCTTTTACATCATCTGCGCTGCAGTCAGTGGGAGAATAGGCTGGGACGACGAAGAGGCAACGACGAGTGTCCCTATCTTTTCTGATCCTTACTGTTCCGTTCAGTCGGACAGCGCACAAACGACTGTCTACTGGGATCCACCCTAAGAGAGCTAGTTCTGCCCTAGGACTCAATGCTATACCTACGCCGGCGAGGCCACGGGAAACAGAATCAGGGCTTCCAGATACACGAAGCGTGAATCGAGTCGGTTCTTAATTTCGGCATGGTGAGGTCAGATGAATGACGCTACTCGGATCCTGTATGCGCGTTTCGGAGACGCAGCACACATCGATGGCGCGGGATTCTAAAGTCCTAGCTAAAGGAGCCTATTGTCCTATTTGGCACAGTGTTCGGACGTTGAAAGCTCCTACATGTAGTTTAGAGCGTGGTTTCAGGAGGCCAGGAATATCATTCCGCGTGCTCGAATCGTTTGCCCTAGCGGCGCGAGGTGATAAAGGGATGTGAGAAGTGTTAGTCTTGGAGATGTGAGATTTATTTGGAGGTGTAGGAAGGATTTGAATGTGACCAACTTGGCCTCGTGTGTTATACATAACCTGGCCTCATAAGTCATAACACCAACAACACTCACGCATCTACTCACATACACGAACTTCTCGACTACTTCTATCCTTCAACTAACCAGGGTGAGTGCAGGTTCAGCGTCCTACTAATCTTGTAAAAGTACTTTTCACTTCGAAGGTGCAAAACACATGCCATACTTACGAACACTGATTGCCATCTGATTAAGTGCGGGTGGCATGGCTTGGGTATCATCCGCATAGTCAAGGTCTTTCTTCGTGTGATAGATCCATACCACCATTACTTACGTCCATCAAAGCTGTTTCCAGAGTGTCATCGATGGCAAAGCTGCAATCCTACCTAACCCCATTGTTTGAATTAAACAATGAAGAGAAGTGGTTGTATGCTCTCACTACTCTACCTGATGTATTAGTATAAAGGGGTTTTAAAATTTGAACAAACTTCTCAGGTATACACTTCTTCAACAGACAATCTCAGAGAACAGTTCTGTCCCACGAATCGAAGGTGGTCGTGATGTCAATAATCATTACAGTTGTTGGCCTGCAACAAGTATCACAGTGTTCAAACATTTGGCGGACGGTGGAGTTATGATCAATATACCCTCGGCTAGGACGAAAACCAACCTGCTTTTGGCGGGTCAGTCTTTCACGTGCTATGAACAGTTTGCAAAGCATGATGAAGAAAATAGTTTGGACGCAAACGGAAACAGACTTACCCTCCGGTAGGTGTTGCACATGTGACGTACAGGTATCAATAGCAGAAATGAGGAGATAATCAAAGTCTAGATAAGTACTACAAAAAGAGTGGCAGTCATGTATTCATCCACGCTAGTGTTAGCTAATCGCAATTTAATTAATCTGAGTCGAGCTTCGGGTGCAGTAGGAGGATGCCAGGTAGCAGCACATCAGCGATGACTGTGCCGATAGCTAGTGCTAACCAGAAACAGATTGAGTTCTGCTAAATTTACAGG